ACCATACCACGACGACCTGGGTACAGTACATTCGTCCACTTACAACAATCTGCTCAGCTGACGACGGGTCTGCAGGTAGAATCGTTTTAAAGCTCATAACGCAGCTCAGGCGAGACTATTTCTGGGAGATTATCTTGCACGGGCTCCTTGCAAGTCGGACGTGACGCAACCTACCCTGAATTCAGGCCTCACCGCAATCATGGCGCCCGCAATCGCTCTCCACCACGGCCTTCGCCTTTGCTCGAAGGCGACGCCCACGACGAGACTCTCCCCAGCGCCCTCCCCGGCATCTCTCCGTGTCCGCGCAAGCCTTCCCGCGCGGGACGTCCGCGCGAGCCTCTCCCCGCGCGTAGTCTCCAACGCGCTCACGGCGCTTGAAAGTCCCGCGAGCTCTCCGCCTGCAGCGGGAGCTGCGGCGGCGATTAACTCCGTGGTGCAGAAGATGGAAACTATGGGTCTGACGGACACAAATCTCGTCTCCACCAATGAGCACCGGGCTTGGGTTGCTTCCGCGTGCATGGCCCTCGCTGCGCTGTTCGCTCGCGGCGTGGTTACCACAGCGGACGACGCGAGTGTTACAGCCGTGCTAGGTGCAGTGGCTGCAGCTGCTGGCGCGTATTTACTCGCGGATTTCGGAACAGGAGTTTATCATTTCGGCGTGGACAACTATGGGGATGGATCCACGCCGATTTTTGGACCGCAAATTGACGCGTTCCAAGGTCACCACAGGCGACCGTGGACGATCACCAAGCGACAATTCGCGAACAATCTGCACGCGCTCGCGAAGCCGATTCTGTTTTCCACGCTGCCCTTCATCTTCGTGCTACCGAATTCCGCTGAGCAGGATATCTTCTTCAGTGTCTTCCTCGCTAGCGTTATGTTCAGCCAGCTTTTCCACGCGTGGTCTCACACGCCTCGCGTCCTCCTCCCTCCATTCGTCCCCGCCCTCCAAGACGCTGGCCTTCTAGTGTCCCGGAAAATGCACGGAGCGCATCACCGTCCTCCCTATAACGCCAACTACTGCATCGTTAGTGGCATATGCAACCCACCTCTTGACTCTATTGGGTTCTTTTCTGGTTTGGAGAGGATGATTTTCCAACTGACCGGGGTTCCTTCAAGGTCCTGGAGTGAGACTGCGCCTGAGTGGTTGGAAGAGGGTGGGTACTACGAAGATGGTTCAGATGAGCAGTAGAAGTTTGTTTATCCTCACTGGTTGGTAGAATTCCTCATTATTTGTAATTAATATATTGAATAAACGCCAGTCCATGGTTCGAAAGCCAGTCATTGTGCCTTGGTGTCGAGGGCCACTGCGACGTCTGCTTTCACAGATGGTTGAAGCGCAGTGTGCATTCAAAATTCCTAACAAGTGACCTGTGGGAGAAGAGAAAAATCTCCTAATTTCCTAACGAGGTGAGATGTTTCTTTTTAGGCATTTCTCATGAGATGATTCCATCACTCTGCTCAGCTACCTCTAGGGCTGGTAGTGAGGCTGGGGAGGAGGGTTCGGAGAGGTCAGTGTTAGCGAATGGACGAAAAGACTCTGCGTGCGCCAATGTGTGCTCACCGCGAAAGGATGTTGCGACACAAAATTTGGTAACAGCAACCCTCGCATGCGAGTTGAAAGCCAATGTGCGATCAAGGGGCATTTTTTGCAGCCACTCCATTGTTTCGCCAGCCATTTCCTCGTTTCAACCCGCGAGGGACATTTCACCTACGTGGAGCCTCCAAGCACCAGTTGCTCAAACCAGTTTAGCGCTCTCCACGTGTCTCTACTGGTACCCAGGATCAAAATCTGAGAAGAACCTCCAGTGCCATGTGGGACGGGCAGGAGGAGCTCAACCATCCTAGTCAGCTTTCCCGCCAAACTGAAGAGCATCTCCCTTCCCAGGAACTTGCACCTCCATTCGTCAAACTGCGACAGGTCAGAACCTCACCCAATCCACCAATCGCTGTACTGCATCAGCGTGTTTTCCCTCTCTCCCCTCAATTCTGTGCTCTCTGCACTTCACCATTTTCCCAGCCAAGCAAGCATCTAGCGAACCAGGGAAACTAGAATCCAGGCCTTGGGATTGCTGGTAGTAAAACCAGATATTCGTTCTTTTGCCACTAACAGATTCGTGTTGTCAATATTTTTAGTTGCTCATCCTTCGTACTGCAACGCCCGTCGTAGTAGCTGCCGAACTTTCGCGGAACTTTGTACATCGCCACATTATGGCTTCCCTAACCGCACATGCCGCTGCCTCGGTCGCCTCATACGCCTCGGCGTCCGGTATGGCTACCACGTCAGCAACCACACAGCAGACCACCATGGCCTGCTCAGCCCGCACCCTCCCCTCCTCCATGTCCACGTTAGCAGCCGCCGCCAGCTCAGCCACCCCTTTCTTCCAGGGCGCTCGCCTCCCCTCCCTGCGTGCCACCGCACGCGCCGCCGCAACTCCCGCCGCGAAAGGCGGCGTCGTGCAGGTCCGCGCGGGCGAGATCATCGAAGTCGAGCTGGAGCGGCCGTACGGCCTCAAATTCTACCGCGGCGAGGACGGCGCGATCTACGTCGACGCGCTGTACCCCGGGCAATCCGCGATATTGAGCAAGAGGATCCAGGAGGGCGATAAGGTGCTGGCGACGAGCGCGGTGTTCGGCAACGACATGTGGCCCGCCGCGGAGTACAGCCGCGTCATGTACACCGTCAGGCAGCGTGTCGGCACGCTGCTGGTCCGCCTGGAGACCATGGGAGGTAAGTGTTTGTAACTGGTACTGTAGTCTGTAACACCACTGACTGGGTCGGTTTCGTGGTTACGCACTTCGTTTCGTAGTATAGCAAGGGTTGAACCTTCTCTAAAACAGACGGAATCCTTTGGTTGACTGCCTCTGACGCCCTTTTACGGGTGAAATTTCGTTGACACCGACGGCTCCAATCAATTTTCTTCAGAACCTGAAGTTCTTAGCCTTCACCCACGTCATCTTATCTACACGTGGTAGCATTGCAGGGCAGAAGATCGGCCCGTGGAAGAAAGACAGCGACCTGGAGGAGGGGCAGAGCCAAATGCTTTACTTATTCGTCACATCTACTTCATTATCTGCCCATGTTTCCCCATCGCAGGTCAGAAGATCGGCCCGTGGAAGAAGGACAAGTACCTGGAGGAGCGCGCGGCCGGCAACTACGGCGACGCCATCCGCGAGAAGCAGATGGAGAACGCCGCGCTGCGGCAAGAGCAGGGCGAGCAGCGCGCCGAGGCTCTTGACCGCGGGCTCCAGCTGTACAAGTAAGCATCGAAGTAGCTTGATTCCTCAGGTTGCTAACACTTTCCGCAGGCCTCCTTATCACTCGCAGTCAACCGGCCTATTCCTCATTTTTGTTACGAATTCGATTGAAGCCAACCGCTCCAGGTGACGATATCGCCCGATCTCACTCGCTCATTTCCGGATGTGTATGCGTGTGCGCCACGTGGCAGGGCCGGCAAGTACGCGGAGGCGATGCAGAAGTTCCAGACGATCATCGGGCTCGTGCCGTCGTACCGCGAGGAGGCCGTCGCTTTTTACAACATCGCGTGCTGCTGCTCCAAGCTCAAGCAGGTGAGACCCGTCTTCCCCCCTAGATGCGTTTTCTGCAGCTCTAGGGTTGCCTGATGCCGTCGTACGACGTGCTGCTGCTCTAAGCTCAAGCAGGTGAGAGTCGTTAATTAAGCGCGCAGGTGAAACACGTGAAGGCACCGGGCTCTGTTAGTTACGCGAGTTGATGCGTGTTGATCACCACTGATCGGCATGTTGGGTGTTAAGCTGAGCTGCTGGTGAAGGGCTCACTTGGCGACGCTCTACGTACGTGGGTAGATGCATGCGCTAAGAAACGATCCTGGCCACAAAGGTCGAGTCGGTTCTCGTCTTAGTTACAGATGCGTGGACATATGTTTGCGCTCCGCGAGAAAAGCATCTCACCTGTCCCTCGGTGTCGCCAAGAGTCGCAAAGTCACATTCACCACCACTTTTACTAGCACATTCACTCGCACGAGTCACGACGCTACACAGGACAGAATCTTGCTCTACAATTTCAGCTGTCTACGAAATAGGCCGCGCACTTGGCGCCATATCTCCACCACAGTGAGACGCTGCTCGTCTTGGTTTCCCCGCTGTCCGCCGCCACCCTACTCTCCCCTGGCGCATCTCCTGACCTTTGTCTTCCCTCTCCCGTGCTTGCAGACTGAGGGAGGCCTGCAGGCTCTAGAGGCGGCAATGGAGGCTGGTTTTGACGACTACAAGGTGAGACGCGAAGAGGAAGCAGCAGGCTTTCATGTGTGCAGGGCGGTGATAGTACTGTATGCGCTCCTCCTGTCTTAGGCATGCATGCGTCTGTGTCTTGTCTCTGTCATGTCCCCTGCAAGTCTGCGGAACAATGGCTGCCAAATAGCTCACTACGTCGTAGCTCAGTTCAGAGCCCTTTTTCTCATGATTTCAGTGCTTTACTGTGCCTTCTCTTCCATTTCTAATTGCAGAAAATCCGTCAAGACCCCGACCTGTCTTTCCTAAGAGACGATGACGAGTTTGACGACCTCATGGACAAGTATGACGAGCCAATCATCAATGAGAACGCCATCAAGGCACTCACTAGTGTGTTTGGCCTCTTTGGCAAGAAATAAAAGCCATGTGCTGTACAATAGGATTACCTGATAATTTTATCTTTGATTTATCATAGATATGTTTTCCCCTACTCCCTAGCATGGGACATAGGGTTTGAGTTGGGTGGTACTCTTTGGTACGCCTTGTGCTGAACGACTGGGATTTTGGTATGCCTTGTGCTGAACGCGTAATGGAACTGATCATAATGGAATCTATCATGCCAGCTTGTGACAACAACCTCAACATGTTCACGAAGAAGAGCAAAGCAAATGGTTAGTAGATAACTGTAGCGTTTTCTTAGCTAAGTGGCAAACTTTCTTAACCACTTTCATTTTACGAGAATGTTTTATAAACAGATTACATTCGCAGCCCATATCACCAACATGCAAACGGAGGAAAGGGATCGGACCAGCGTGAATCACGCTGCTGTAGCAGCCTAGATATCTACATTTCGTGAGCAAGTTAATCGTCAATCCCAAGAGAGGTTGCACTTTTGACCAGATCCGGCCAGGCCACGCAGGTAACTCCATTTTCAAGCGCGTAGCTCCGTCGGGTCTCGTCCTGTTCTTCCCTCGACGCGCACGATCATTCCTTGCTGTGATCCTCTGTAGTACCGAGCGGACGTCTCCGTCGTAGTCAGTCCCGTTACCAGTCAGCACCATCCATCGAAATGCAGTCGTCAGGTTCGGCTGCCAGTCTAGCGCTCGCCGTCACGACTGCCGGCGCGGCAGCGGCAGCCGTGGTCGCTTGCCGTCTGCTCTTCTCCCCTGCACCTGCTGCTGCCGCTGAAGCAGCCTCCGAACCATCACCAGCAGAAGCCGCAGCAGATTCCCACACCGAATCTGGCACCGCGACTGCACCCTCGAGAATACCTAATTCGTCAGATACCTCTTTAAGTAGCGCCTTAGAGTGGCTGGCCTCCGCAGCGAGCGGGATTAAGGACCATGCGGAGCGGCTCGTCGGACGCGGGAAAGCCGGAGCTGATGCTCCCGACTCGGGAAGTCTGGACGCAATTCTGTCTTGTTTACCAGAAGGATATAGTCTTGCCGGAAAAGCGGCTACTGCCGCCGCGATTGCCGCTGCAGCGGTGGTCGCGGTGGGCGGAACGGCGCTCGCGATCCGAGCCGCAGTCGGCGCGTCGCGAAGGAAACGGCGGCAGCGCGTGATCGGCATCATTCCCGCGCGGTTCGCGTCGTCGCGGTTTGTGGGGAAGCCGCTCGCGCTGATCGCGGGCCAACCCATGATCCAGGTATGGTCCTCCCATGATCCAGGTATGGTCCTCCCATGATCCAGGTATGGTCCTCCCATGATCCAGGTATGGTCCTCCCGTGATCCAGGTATGGTCCTCCCATGATCCAGGTATGGTCCTCCCATGATCCAGGTATGGCCCTCCCATGATCCAGGTATGGTCCTCCCGTGATCCAGGTATGGTCCTCCCATGATCCAGGTATGGCCCTCCCATGATCCAGGTATGGTCCTCCCGTGATCCAGGTATGGTCATTCCACGCGAATGGCACAGGTCAGTCAGGTACACGTCAGTCAGGTACACGTCAGTCAGGTACACGTCAGTCAGGTACACGTCAGTCAGGTACACGTCAGTCAGGTACACGTCAGTCAGGTACAGGTCAGTCAGGTACCGAAGCCGCTTGTTCGTCTGCTGCGGCTTGTTGGCAAATAACCGGTCTAGGGGAAGCTGTTGCTTCGCCGCCTCCTCCTCCGTTTTTCTCCCGGAAACCCCACCCCATGCCCCCTCCCTTTGCTTCTTCCTCCTTCCGCTCGACCCCCTTCCGCCGTCCCCCCTCCGCCGTCCCCCCTCATACCCCTATTTCCACTGGGAGCAGCACACGTCGGAGCGTGCGAAGCTCGCCTCACAAGCCCGTCCTTTCCTTCTCCCCCTCCCCCCTTCTTCCCGCCTCTTCCCTCCCGCCCCCCTTCCCCTTCCCTCTCCCCCCCTTCCGCCCCCACTCCCCCTGGGAGCAGCACACATGGGAGCGTGCGAAGCTTGCGCAGACCCTGGATCGAGTGGGTACGTGGGACGGGGGGAGCGGGCAGCGGGGCTAGCAATAGAGAAAAAGAAAATCAAGGGTTTAAGGAAGAGGGGTTTTGGAGGGAAGGGGTGGGGGAGGAGGGTGGGGGTAGACGTTTGGGAGACAGATGAAGCCACTCGGAGGGGAGGGGGGGGGTGGGTGGGGTGGGGGTGGGGAGGTGGAGGGAAGCAGGGGTTGGGTTGGAAAGAGCAGCTTAAATCTAACTGCCTTTTTTCCAAAAGTGCTTCAGACCTCCTCCCTCTTCACTTCCCTTGTCTACCCTTGTCTTCCCTTGTCTTCCCTTGTCTTCCCTTGTCTTCCCTTGTCTTCCCTTGTCTTCCCTTGTCTTCCCTTGTGTTCTCTTCTCTTATCTTTTTGTCTCTTTCCTTCTCGCTCTCTCGTCTCCCTTCCTGCCTGCCACCCCATGCTGCCGCCCTCCGCCCTCCGCCCTCCGCCCTCCGCCCCCGGCCCCTGGCAGTGGTGGCAACGGACGATGAGAGAATAGCCCGATGCTGCGAGGGGTTTGGCGCTGAGGTCATCATGACGTCAGCAGCGTGCAGCAATGGTGAGGCTGGTTGTGAGCATGTGAGCATGTGAGCATTTGAGCATGTGAGCATTTGAGCATGTGGTGTGAGACCATGCAATTATTGGTAGCGGTGTATGCCTGCATGCAAGAACGCATGCATGCATGCATGGAAGGGTCTTCGTGGTCGTCGCTCATGGTCTTGGGAAGAGCAGCAGTGAAAATGCGTGCATGGAAGGAAGGGTCTTCGTGGTGCCTAGAAAACACGTGCATGCATGGAGGGGTCTTCGTGGCGCCTAGAAAACGCGTGCATGGAAGGAAGGTTGTGATTTATGAACGTGTCATGAACGTTGTCGCACTTACCATGTTTGACTGAACACACGGACACTCTAACATGCCGCCTCCCTTCCTTTCGAACCAACACGACAGGTTCGGAACGGTGTGCCGAGGCGGTGGAGAAGCTCAAGGGGAAATGGGACGTGGTGGTGAACATTCAGGGGGACGAGCCGCTCATCGACCCCGCTACCATCGATGCTGTTGTCATTGCGCTACGGGTGCGTGCTGTTGTCGTTTTTGTTACAGATGATCCGAGGTTAACTGGTAGTTCTGCAACTTGAATAGCTATAGGGTGGGTTACCTGGTTATTCTGTTGTGAACATTTTTTGGGACGAGACTCTTATTGAGCCTCTTGTTGAGAAATAAATGACTTGTCCCAATCACCAGGAAGCTACGGGTGCAGCAGACCCGAAAGAAACCTCTGTTCTGGGCTTGAATCGATGCACCCTCAAGCACCCTCCCTCAAGCACTCCATTTTTGTTCCTCGAATTTTCTCAGGAAGCACCCGAGGCTGTGGCAGCAACGGCAGTGGCTGACCTGAAAGCAGCCTCGGCTCCGGACCCGAACCGAGTGAAGTGTGTTGTGGACAACAGGGGCTTTGCACTCTACTTCTCCCGCGCGCTCATTCCCCATAACAGGTTCGTGCCACGACTGATTCCAATAGATTGTTCTCCTGGATGCATCATTCGTTTCTCAATGTTACAACCTCTCTGTTAGAATATAACATTCTCTTTATCCTACTTAGTTTCTTATACTTGGGCATATATAACCAAGTTGGGCTATCTAGGGGTGTAGATGAATGTTGGGGTTGGATATTCAACCAACCCTTGACCCCAACTATCGAGGTGTTCAATCTTGTTGGTCTTCCACCAACATTATTGGCTCCTCAATTGTTGGTGGTCCAACCTTCCCAAACCATCATTGGTCCAACTCATAATGGTTGGGTTGGTCAAGCCCCTCTTGACCTGGGATTGGCTCCCTAGGTATATAACCCTGTACCACCTCCCTCTATAGTCAATTCTTCTCTCTACATTTTCTAATAGTCTCGTCCTCCCCGCTTCATGTGATCACTGCTGTTTTCAACAGACCTGCTCAGTGTCTGTCTTGCGTAGCCGTTTTTCTCTTTTTTGGTAGGAAAATCCTCTCCCTTTTTGGTAGGAAAATCCTCTCCCTTTTTGGTGCCATGGTCTTTTATCGCCCCTCTCCCCCGTCCTCCCCCGAAACTCTTTGCTGCAGGGACGGAGTGCCTCATCCCGGCTTCCCCTACATGCTGCACCTGGGCCTGCAGGTTCGTTCCTCCCCCCTGCTCTCTCTCCCCCTCCCCCCAGCACGCGTGACATGCTTGACATGCGTGACATGCGTGACACGCGTGACACATGCGTGACATGCGTGACACATGCATGACACATGCGTGACATGCGTGACACATGCGTGACATGCGTGACACATGCGTGATATGCATGATATACGAACCCGGCCTTGTTTCCTGCGTCTTTAGACCTATGACACCCCCTTCCTAGTGCACTACAGGGCGTCTGAAGTAGGGGGGCTGGGCGAATGGCTCTGAGGAGCCTCATAACACCATACCCCCCACCTTCCCCCTCCATCCCCCCATCTCTCCCCACATCACCCCCCCATCTACCCCCACCTTCCCCCTCCCCCACCTTCCCCCTCCCCCCCCTTCCCCCCGCTTTCCGACACTGCACTCCTAGCGCACTACAAGGCATCTGAATCAGTGCCCCCGATTTCTTTCGAAGGCCTTATTTTGCCCCCTCCTCCTTCCCCACTGTCCTCCTCCGTGAGGAGTCTATTTTTAGGCGCCTAAAAAATAGACTCCTCTTGAAGGCCCCTTATTTTGCCCCCTCCTCCTTCCCCACTGTCCTCCCACCATGCCTCATCTCCCCTCGCTGGCATTTAGGCCTACGACGCTGCATTCCTGGCGCACGACAGGGCGTGTGAACCGGGGCGACTGAAGTTTTTGCAGGGCCAGTGAATCCGCCCCCCAGCCTCTCCTCGTCTCCCTTCATTCCATCCAGGCATACGACGCTGCCTTCCTCGATTTTTAAGGCACCTAAAAAATCGTTCCATCCAGGCATACGACGCTGCCTTCCTCGCGCACTACAAGGCACGTGAGGCGGGGCAACTGGAGAAGGAGGAGCAGCTGGAGCAGCTAAGGATACTGGAGCAGGGGCACAGGGTCATGAGAGGGATTTGCGCGGCCTCACAGCACCACCTCTCCGCCCCTTTCGCCCCCTCTCTCCCCTCCCTCCCGCCCTTTTCCCTCCCCGTCACCACCCAGGCCTATGACGCTGCATTCCTTGCGCACTACAGGGCGTCTGAGGCGGGGCGACTGGAGGAGGAGGAGCAGCTGGAGCAGCTAAGGATGCTGGAGCAGGGGCACAGGGTGAAGGTGGTGAAGGTGGCACATGCAGCCCATGGCGTGGACGTGCCTGGTGATGTTAAGCGGATAGAGGAGCTCCTGCTGAGAGGAGGGCGATGAGGGGCTTGGGGGAGGGCGATGAGATGTGTCAAGGCATGGTTGGAGCATGAGCAAGGTGGCGCATGCAGCCCATGTCGTGGACATGCCTGCGGACATCAAGCGGATAGAGGAGCTCCTGCTGAGAGGAGGGCGATCAAGTCTCGGATGGGAGGAGTGCGATCAAGTCTTTGAAAGGATGGCATGCATGCGTGCATGCATCAAGCCACGCTGACATGCTTGCTGGGAGCCACTAGAAGGTGCTCCTGACAGGCTCAAATAGACTCAAGGAAGGACCACCTTAGCTCTCAGCTCAAGGTGGGTAGGTAGGCTTAGAAGAGGGATTAGCAGCCCGCCTGGTTATAGACAGAAGACTGCTGACGGAAAAGCAGTCTTGATTCTTGACCCCTTTAGTTTAGGTAGGTGAGTGTCTTGCTTCTTGCCTGATCCTGTAGCTACTCTTCCGCTACAATCCCTCTAGGGGAAAGAGAACGCTGCTTCTGCGAAGTATCTACCGCGCGTAAATGGAAGATGCAGCTTTATGTGACAAGTGTGATAATTGATTTCATCCACTCACTCCTGGGGTACACGTCACAAACTAGCAAAACACGGGCCAATGTGGGCCGCAACATCTTTCTTTAGAGGCCGACGGCCAAGAAGACCTTTCAGAGAGTGACAACACAACACACAGCGGCAAAGAATGGGCTCATTTTTTAGAATTATAAAAAATGACTCCACTGCAACCATTCTGTCGCAGACTAACTCCTTCCTCGGCTCCTTGGAACTCCTCCACTCGGCCTGCCTTCAAGTCCGCTTTTACCATCCAGAATCTCCCCTTCTTGAGGCGCCTAAAAAAAAACTCCTCCACTCGGCCTGCCTTCAAGTCCGCTTTTACCATCCAGAATCTCCCCTTCTTGAGGCGCCTAAAAAAAAACTCCTCCACTCGGCCTGCCTTCAAGTCCGCTTTTACCATCCAGAATCTCCCCTTCCTATCCCTCCCTCTTCCCCCCTGCACTTTTCTTAGTCGCCACGACTAACCCCCTCTCCCTGACCCCGCTCCCTCCCCTCTCACCCCCCATCCCTCTCTCCTTCCCTACAGCTGCTCTATTCCGCCATCCTTTTTCTCCCTCCATCTTTTTTTTGCAGGGTGTTTTTGAGAATTCTCAAAAACTCCCTACTCCAGCTGCTCTATTCCGCCATCCTTTTTCTCCCGCCTCCATCCCTCCCCCCGTCCCCCTCCCCCCCCTCCTCCTCCTCCTCGTCCAGATAGATATTTTCCGCCATCTGCCAGATCTGCAGGATATTATCCTCCGCCACGCTGGCAACCACCCAGTCATCGTTGCCGTTCCACGAGAAGTCGGAGATCTTGCTCGTGTGCCCCCCGTGGATGAACAGTAACTCAGGCGGCCCATCCTCCGCGTCGTCTGGTGACTGCTGCTCGCCGATCCTGTTTGAGTGAGGATAAGGGAAGGGGGGGGGGGAGAGAAAGGGGTGGGGGAGGGGGGGGAAAGAGAGGAGAGATGAGGCAGGCAAGGAGTGGTTTGCTCGTGTAGCCCCCGTGGATGAACAGTAGCTCGGGCGGCGAGTCCTCCGCGTCGCCTGGGGACTGCTGCTCGCCGAACCTGCGAGGAAGGTTCGGATTGGGTTCAGGTAGGGAAGGTGGGGAAGGGATGGCTCGGGAGAGGGAGTTTTTGGGCAGTTGTTGCAAGGGTGGTCAGTGGGATGTGCAGGGGGCGCATGTGGGTGAGAAGAAGTAAGAAAGCCACGAAGTTTAACATAAACATAAAAGCAACTGATTATATATACAGTTACAATGTGAACCCTGACTGTGTACACATATATATGTATATATATATTGTCTACGCATATATACATAGAAAATATACAGTACCTGCTGAGATCCCAGACCATGAGGCGCCTGTCGGCCCCACAGGATGCCATGATGGTCTCGTTCTGCGGGCTCCACCCCACCTGAAACACCTCCTCCCTGGTCACAAGGGGGGGGGGGAGTAACAAGGGGGGGGGGGGGAGTAACAAGGAGAGGGGGGGTAACAAGGGGGGGGGGGGGGAGTAACAAGGGGGGGGAGAGTAACAAGGGGGGGGAGTAACAAGGGGAGGGGAAGTAACAAGGGGGGGGGGAGTAGTAACAAGAGGGGGGGGAGTAACAAGGGGGGGGAGAGTAACAAGGGGGGGGAGTAACAAAGGGGGGGGGGAGTAACAAGGGGAGAGGGGTTGTGAGCACCTGTGAAACACCTCCTCTCTGGCCGTTGAGGGAGAGGGGGGGGGGGGGGGGAGAGAGAGTGAGTAACAAGGGGAGAGGGGTTGTGAGCAACAAGGGGAGAGGGGTTGTGAGCTCCTGGTGACTTTTGAGTCGACTCAAGAGTGAGTAACAAGGGGAGAGGGGTTGTGAGCAACAAGGGGAGAGGGGTTGTGAGCTCCTGGTGACTTTTGAGTCGACTCAAGAGTGAGTAACAAGGGGAGAGGGGATGAGAGGCAACCCCGCAGGAGGGGATACGGAGGAAGGGAAGGAGGGTAGGACATACTAATGTTACACAAGCACTTGGATGTTACAAGCCTATACGCACAAATGCACTCGCGAGTGCTGCACGAAGGTGTGCAGTCGCTTGGACAGGTTGCAAATGTCGTGCAGCGCCACTGTCTTGGCAACAGCCGACAGCATATGCTGTTCCAGACACGCAAACGGTACCATTTTGAGGCGCCTCAAAACTAGGTTCCAGACACGCAGACGTCACCATGTTATGAATGTCTGCCGGCACGAGCGCTGCACAAGTGCGGCACAAACGTACGAGTGCTGCACGAAGGTGTGCAGTCGCTTGGACAGGTTGCGAATGTCGTGCAGCGCCACTGTCTTGTCGGCTGAACCTGTCACTAGCACCCACTCGTTGAAGGGGTTGAATGAGAGGCAGTTCACCTGGGGGGGAAGAATGTGCATGGATGTGCAGCAAGAGAGGAGAGTCTGGTTGAATGGGCCAAGAGGGGGAGGAATGAGGGGCTTTCCAACTGACTCTGATGAACCCCCTCCCCTCCCCCGCTCCCCTCCCCTCCCCTTCCTTCCCCCCCTTCGTCCTGTCTTCCATCCCACCAGTATCAACTCATCGATCGGCTCTAAAGCCAAGCAGTTGACTCCACTGATCAACGTTGACTAGCAGTGACCCACCTCTGCAGGGTGCGCGGTAACCGCGTGGGCGGGTTTATCGACAGCGGAGGAGCGCAGGTCCCACAGCAGCAGCTGCTGGTCGTCGCCCACCGACCCAAAGAGGTACTCGTGGCGGCAGTGCCATGCCACGTCCTCCACCACTCCTGTGTGCGCCTGGTGGTGAACAAGAGAAGGGGTGGCGTGGCAGGGGAATGAGGATACATGCAGCAGCAGCTGCTGGTCGTCCTCCACCGACCCATACAGGTACTCGTGGCGGCAGTGCCACGCCACGTCCTCCACCACTCCCGTGTGCACCTCGTATTGCATGGGGGGGAGGGGAGGAGTGTGGAAGGGGAGCAAGGGCCTGGTGTCCCGGGGAAGCCTAGAGGCCCGGGTAAATGGCATGGCAAGACCCCCCCCCCCCCTCACCCTGTATATGTGCTTCGCCTCGACCACTTTGTCCGCCTTAGTAGCAGACCCAATGTCCCACACGCAGATCTGCATCTCGTCTTTCCGGCTAAGCCGGTGCCTTGTACCCCATCTCCCCCCCTTCCCCCCTTCCCCCCCCCCCTCCCCCGTGTCATCCTTTACAAGCCATGTCTCCATGTGCACTCACCCGGTATATGTGCTTCGCCTCGACGACTTTGTTCGCCTTAGTAGCTGCGCCGATATCCCACACGCAGATCTGCATGTCGTCTGACCCGCTCAGCAGGTGCCCGGCGCGGAAGGGGCTCCAGGACAGCCCGTACCCCTCCGTTTTGTGGCCCCTTAACCGTAGGTCGGGGTTGCATGTGCCTTCCTGGGGTGGCTTGGAGGGGTGTCTGCTGTAGTCAAACACAAACACCTGTGGGTGGTGGAGGGGCGGGGGGGGGGGGGGGGGGTGGGGCGTGCAAGGGAAGCACAGTTGCTCGGCAGGTGCCCGCCCGGCGCAGAAGGCGCTCCAGGACAGCCCATACCGCTCGGTCTTGTGGTCCCTAAGCCTCAAATCGGGGCTGCAGGTGGCTTCTTGGGATGGCTTGGAGGGGTGTCTGCTGTAGTCAAACACAAACACCTGTGGGGGGAGGGGAGGGTTGGGCGTACAGACCAAACACAGCTGCTCAGCAGGTGCCCGGCGCGGAGGGGGCCCCAGGAGAGGCCATATCCCTCGGTCTTGTGGCCCCTCATTCTAAGCTCAGGGCTGCAGGTGCCTTCCTGGGGGGGCTTGGAGGGGTGTCTGCTGTAGCCAAACACAAACACCTGCGCGGGAGGGTGAGGCGGAGGGAGAAGGGAGCGGGTGGGGGGAGGGGCGAGATGGTAGGGAGTAGCCCAGGGCAAGCACATCCGATCAGCAGGTGCCTGGCGCGGAAGGAGCTCCAGGACAGTTCGTACCCCCCCCGTCCGAACAAGCAAAGGAGCAGCCATACCTCGCCAGACACTGTTTTGGTGGCGATTAGAAACGGGTTCAGCAACATGTACCCGTTATGAGGCCCCTCAAAAGAAGAAAAGAAGCAGACGTACCTCAGCAGGCACAGCCTTTGTGGCATGTACCTACTATAACACTGTACCCGTTACAAGGCGCCTCAAAAGAAGCAGACGGACCTCGGCGGACACTGTCTTGGTTGCGATTAGAAAGGGATTCTGCGGCATGTAGCGCGCGCGGTTCACCTCCCCCTCGTGGTTGATCTGCTGCACCACTTGCACCTGCAGCACGGTGAAGGGAGGAAGCAGGGGGGTCAATTTTTTAGGCGTCTCAAAAGTCTATTTTTGATACGCCTCAAAAGTAGAGGGGGCAATGTTATGGAGGGGAACGGCCCAGCAGTAGAGTGTGGCTGCCGGTTCACCTCCCCCTCGTGGTTGATCTGCTGCACCACTTGCACCTGCGGCAGTGCGAGTACGTGTGTGCTTGTGTGTGTGCGTGTGGGGGTGGCAGGGAGGGGAGAAAGGGGAGGGAAGTCAGAGTTTGGCGGTTCACCTCCCCCTCGTGGTTGATCTGCTGGATCACTTTTTTTTAGGCGCCTCAAAAACAGTTTGGCTGTTCATCTCCCCCTCGTGGTTGATCTGCTGGATCACTTGCGCCTGCTGGATCACTTGCGCCTGCTGGACCACTTGCGCCTGGGGCCGCGGGCATGCATGAGGTAATTCTGCTCGCCACTTCCCCAACCACCCTCGCTCATACCCTCACCTGGCGCAGACACCGCTTTCTCACCTTAGCGCCCCCAGCGCCGAACCCCCCAACGTCCGCCTTCTGGTCGTCGTATTGTCTGGCGTCCGTCTCCGTGTCCTCTAGCGGCAGCTGCACGTGTGCCACTCCAAACCGCCCTCTTTCAAACCCTTCCTCACCTTAGCGCCCCCAGCGCCGAACCCCCCAACGTCTGCCTTCTGGTCGTCGTATTGTCTGGCGTCCGTCTCCGTGTCCTCTAGCG